TCAATTCAAGTTTATACCAATTATAGTTAATGGCTTAGACACCAAATCCAACAATATCCCACTTGGATAAGTCTGTAACTATAACTACCAGTATGACTACCGAATTGATCAGCAAATTGTAGCTACCAAAAGCCGTTTGAACTCTGACCCAATCAGTTACGTGTCCTAAGATAAGTGATCATATATTCCTTCGTTCTACAAGATATCATATGGACACGAGACATGAAATGAAATGAATCTCATTGTCCAAAATTTTGTTTCCCGGTATATGACGACTGTATTCAGACTTCTAATTGAACACATCAATTTAGTCTGGGTTTTGCCAAGCACTTCAGATGTCGACATCAAATCATCGAGGGGCCCTAAGATATCGTTTTTCCTGTTAGGGCAAAAGGAACAAATAAACTTTGACTTGTATGCTTGTACTATTACTCATCAAATCATGTTCAACAATACGTTTTATAACATCAAGTTACTGATGTGTTTAGGTATTATCAATGCACAATTGACTTGTAAACCACAACTCATATATCTTCGTTTTAAGAATATAACATATTATCGTCTCAAAATTACTCGTGATAAAATCCATGAAGTAATTCTTTGAGCATGGATTTTATCAAATACTCAAAATCACAATTTTCTAAGTACTCATGAACATTGCAGCAATCTCCATAGACGATCTACAATTCAATTCATGACAATCTTAATTTGCTACTTACTTCCAAAAGTACGAGCGACTGTGGAATTTCGGAAAATCAAATTATTCAGGAAGTAAAACATGCAAAGTGAAACACAATAATAACCTAATTAATTATGGTCTCAAAACTATTTAATATAAATAAAACTTTTATTATTTAATCACCATATTAATTAAGACTTTATTCATTGTATAATGTTTTGAGTAATCAACAAACCACTTGAATTATAACATTTAACTCCTTACGCTAATACTCTAATAATTTATTACGGATTTAGGGCCAACATAAAAATATAAAAATACATCTTGGGGTTTTAGGGTTTATTATTTATTTAGTTATTTATTTACCTATTTTATGTATTTACTTATTTTATTTTATTTATTTTATTTTAAACGGGATGTTACACTAAATAGCAGGTTCTTACACTTGGGATCAAATATAAAGGATTCCAAAAACTCAATTTTCGTTCTCCTGTCTCCTTTCTTTCTCTTAGTGGACAAAATTCATAACCCCTCTCTTAGGGTTAGTGAGTTTCGTATAAGCCCTAATATAGAGTTTATTCTTTGTTTCCTTCTTGGAGCCTTTGGATAGTCTACATTAGAGGGATTCTACTTTTGGTCATACATCCATTGCAAAGGTTGTTAATCACAAAATCTCAAACAAGACATCAAGAGGTATGTAATTTTTCCTTCTTTCATTTGATTTTAAAGTATGTTGCTAAAACTAGTAAAACGTAGATCTTTGGGTGCATTTACACTTAGTAAATTATTAATTGTTTCTGCTACCTAGTTAATGTGTATTTGATGCTTAGAAAATCCAAGTCAACCCACACACACCTCCCGAGTTAGCATAAATCTTTTATCCATCCCATAACCAAAACAATTAGGTTAAGTAAGTTACTCCAATAAAACCACCTCTGCCTACAGAAGAACCGGACAAAGCATACCCGAATAAAATACTCCTTGAGTACAAAATCAATATCCCATAAATCGGAGAAAAGGATCTAAGAAATATTATTCTATTAAAACAACAATAACTACCAAAGGAAAATAACAATATCCATATATATGAGACAACCAAAGGTCTCCCCTTAAAGTATAAATACTTCCCCTTGATAAACATAAGGTACGCAAGTGATAAAGAATTACGACTCATTTGGAATACGTTAACATCATGAGCCTAAATTCTAACTTTGGCATCAGAGAGCATTATTAGGGTTCTTCCCAGTAATGTTCCGGACTAAGATTTTCTCATTTTGTAGATGTGTCAACTTATGGAGATAGCGAAAGGAGGTTTATCTTCCATCCCTTCATTAATATCCTAAGGAGCCACGTAGCATCATTGGTTCCATTTGTAATCAAAATGGCTAAGAAAGGGAATCCTCACGAACAGGCCCGGCCTTATATAGATAGAAAATAAGCCCTTGCTTAGGGCCCCAATTCTAAGGGGGCCCCACTTAACCCATATTTCAATTAGGGATTAACGATTCGGATTCTCCATTAACGCAATAAGAAGCATTAATTCTCGGCGACTATTCTTCCTTCTTTGAATCTGTGTCCTCTGAGTTCATTCTTCATTCTCCTCTGTCCTCGTAACCGCTGAATGGATTACCACTACCGTCTACCGGTGTGATTTTGATTCTCGATTCTAATCTTCTTCTTCTTGGCTCTGATGATCTGACCGATTCTTATTCAAAAATAAAAAAAAGAGGTTAGCTCGATTGTTGATTCTTCTTTCTGAGGCTGATAATCTCTGGCTATTGTTTCTTTCCTTAGCGAATTCATAATTCAAAAATCAAAAATAGAGGTTTAACTGTTTGTACTTTGTATATGAGCATTTTCCTTGTTAATCGTCCCACTGTTAGATTAGTTTTGTGTTTGTAAATAAAGCTTTATAGACTCATTGCTGTTAGTTGTAAGATTGTATGTTCTGATTTTAGGGCGAAGCAACTACATAGCACTTTTTTGAGTGAGGTTTTGTTTTAGAATTTAGATATATATCATGCTAAATTTTGTTAATTTGATGAAGTTAAATCTATTAATTTTGATGTAGAAATCTATTTGATGTAGAAATTTGTTTATCATTTTCTGCACAAAAGAAGGAATAAATCTATTTTTTGAATTTTGATGTAGACTTCTTTCTTTATTAGACTATCTATTAAAGTTAATAGGACTTAATTTTTTTAATATTCATTGTGTCAAGTTGGATTTTGGAATGATTTTCGCTAGAAGTTGCAAAGGTGGAACGAATTTGAGTTTTTTGAAGGTCAAGGCTGTCAATAACTATCAAGAACTCAAAGCCCCAAACTTTTAAGCCCCCAAATTGGTTGAGCCGTCCCTGCTCACGAACAACACTAGACTCACCCTTTTGCCTAATAAACATGATACCGGCTTTCGTACCCACACCAAACATGAGTAAAACAACATCAACACCACCACAACCAGTCACGAATACTCCTGCAACAAAACACATAAACAATGAAAGTGGAGCCATCGAAGATACCCTAGTGGAAAAAAGGAAGAGAAGGCAAACAAATTACGTCTTAGCTGAACCGACAAGTAGCTCGAGTATACCAACACTCCCACAAGAATATCTACCATCGATAAATGCACCAATACAATAAAATATATAGCCTTACGTCCCAATTCCTTCACCACTGCCATACACATAATATCAACCATATTGGCCCAAACAGGCCTACAACTTTGCATGCCGCCAAATCTAATCAGCAACTCGAGTATGCAACAAATTCAGTGGCCACACCTAGCGATGAATGATAACCTGCAAGGAGACAGAGGAACAGGTATAAACCAAATCCACGTGCTAAGGTCAGATAACTCACCGCGGGTAAGGAACATCCGTGAATATCATCTACCATCATTAACGAGTTTACCAGATATTACAAAGTATGACGGCTCGGGAGATCCAAATGATCATATAAAAAACTACAAATTGACAATGGATGCTCACTGTCTAGACGAAAAATATCGGTGTATATTTTTACTAACTATCTTGTCGGGACTAGCCAAACTGTCGTATAAGTCCAGCCACGGAAAGTATTTGAGATTTCAACCGGATAAGAGAAGAATTCATAATTAGTTACTTCGTGCAACAACGAAAGTATACGACATAAACACAGACTATCTTAAGTTGCGGACAGAGGTAGGACAAATCGTTGCAGGCTTTCGTCATCTGGTTTAATAAATCAACGTTGAATGCACCAAAGAGTGCCGATAAAATGGTCATAGCCGCATTCACCTATAGATTACACATTGTCGTGCTACTCAAAAACTTAGTTCATAAACCATCAAAATCGCGAAGAGATATGATGGAACATGTTCACAAGTTCATGAAGCAAGAAGAGACAACATGAGAAAAAAAAATTGAAAGTGGGGACAACAATGCATGCAAACTTATGGAGATCATGAAAAGAGGTTTATCTTCCATCCCTCCATTTATAATAACGATCCATATAGCGTCATCGTCATGCTATAAAAAATTACATATTGTTCTGAACTACAAATAGTTTGTTTCAGGATTTTGGATTATAGACTATTCTATGTGTTTTGGAGTAGTTCTACAAATTTCGGACTAGTTCTTCATATTTCGGAGTGCATTCTGGAACAGGTTTTTAAAGGTTATACTTGTAGTAGTTGTTGGTTATACTAATATTAACTATACACAACCCTAAAAACCACCAAATTAAAATCTAGTTAACACAAATTTGTTCCTATTAAAACCTACTAATTAATAACAAACCCAAGATGCTAACAAGATAAAGGAAACAACACATACCCACAAATGTTCTAGCTCTTCACTGTCACGCGGCATCCTTCGATAATCGTTTTGTCTGAAATGTGAGTTCTTGCATATCCGAAACCCTGTCTGTTGCAGAATGTCTAGTCTTAAATGCTTCTTCTACAGTGAATGTCTGAAATATATATATATATATATATATATATATATATATATATATATATATATATATATATATATATATATATATATATATATACAGAGAGAGAGAGAGAGAGAGAGAGCAGGGACCACAATGACGGGCCGGATCCCATAAATGTGGGTTACCCGATTTAAAATGGGTCCAGAATGCAATGTTCCGGACTTTGTGGTTATCTTGCCAAATTCAGAAAGTTGGTTATTTTGTTCAAAAACACTAACAAAGATGGTTAGATTAGTGAAATTCCCTATAATAAAAAAAATTTAAACACTACTGTCATGTACAATTGTCAAAATAAAAAAGGTAGTAGGAAATATGTAATACAAGTATGACATACATGTAGGCGCACATATCTGTCAAAATTTATATGTATATATGACTTATAATATAAGCATTGGTACATAAGTAGGAGCACTTGTTGACTTTTCTTCACAATTTTATAATAAATCCACTATATTTTATTCATTATCCTTTCACTTTTATGTTTTTAACAGGAGTCTCTTTCCAATATATATGACCTCCATTAATTTCTTTTCTTCCTTTAGGAGAAAAAACTGCATCTCTTGCGGTTTTTCTTGAGACTACAGGCCATTGCCCACAACTGACTGCCATGTCCTTCAGATTTTCAAAGCCTTCAAGAGTTTCGATTATTTCAGTCATTTTTGGCCTATCTTTAGGGTTCAAGTTCACACAATTTAGTGCCAAAACTGCCATCTCCTTGACTCCCCTCACTGAGTATTGACCTGTCAATCTTGGGTCAATTATGCAACGCAATCTTCGACTGCTAGTCATGTACGGTTTTGCCCAATCCACAAGATATTGTTCGCTCTTAGGCCTCGTTTTGTCCATTGCCCTTTTTCCAGTTAGTAGTTCTATCAACACCACTCCGAAGCTGTAAATGTCGCTCTTTGTGGTCAAATGGCCTACAATTTTACACATTAATGCAATGAGTTTGTTAAACCTTTATATATAGACAAAGATAAGTTGAGGGTTTATATTCATCATGTTTTTCTGTATTTATAATTCATATTGAAGAAGTAATTAAGTCTAGTCAACCAAAGTGTTGAGTAAATTTAGAAGAATTGTAACAGTTGGTTTGGTTTTATTTTGTTTTGTTAGTGATGTTTGAGGGGTAGCTAGTTTAGATCAATACCAGTGTTGACATATTCAGGAGCAGCATAACCATAAGTACCCATGACTCTAGTTGTTACATGAGTGTTTGATCCTTCAGGACCCATTGTTGCCAATCCAAAATCTGATAACTTTGCATTAAAATCCTGCCAATGTAAAAATGGGGTTTAAGTTATTTATTTAATATTTCATGAAAGATTCTAAATCATAAACATCTACAGTATTACTTTTTATAACAAGTCATATAATATAATTATAATACTAAGATGTGAAGAAAAACATGCTTACCGAATCAAGTAAGATATTGGAAGTTTTGAAGTCGCGATATATAACAGGCTTATCAGCACCATGCAAGAATGCGAGCCCTTTAGCAGCACCTATTGCAATCTTTAATCTGTTTCCCCATGGTAGGCAAACTGAGATCCCTGTATTACAACCGCTAATATGCTTAAACTACAACATAATTACTATATTGGAAAAATTTTATAAAGAAAACATGATCATCTTACTCTTGAACAAATGATTTTCCAAGCTTCCACGTGGCATGAACTCATACACTAGGAGTCTTTCTTCTTCTTCACAACAATATCCGATTAATTTCACTAAGTTCGGATGCCTAAGTTGCCCGAGAAATATCACTTCTGCCTTCATGATTTCCCAAAAAAAAAAAAACAACGATTATAATCATTATATATAGACAATCAATCATATATTTAATCTAATCATAACATTGTTATTTATTTAAACTTACTAGCCATTCCCTATGTCCTTGCAACCCTTCAATGTCAAGAAGCTTGACTGCAACGGCTTGTGCCTTCATTCCACATCTCATGTTGTCATCCACATAACCCTTATGCACTGTACCAAACCCACCTTCCCCAAGCAAGAAGTTGCTAGAGAAATTTTGAGTTATGGCTCGTAACTCACTGAGTTTGAAGTCAAACAAATCAGGACCAAAAGTCTGCGCTATGTCCTCATTTATACGCATAGAAGAAGACTGGCTAAGGTCTGAGAAAGATAGGTGCCTAAAAGATGGTGATGGAGTCACATTCTTTGAGAAATCGGACCTTGAAGTCCTACATCTGCTAAAATTGTTGAACACTGTTTGATCTTCAACAGAACAACAGTTTGTTATAAAGGGTTGCCAGGATTTTGAGGAGTCTTTCATGATTAGCAATGAAAATGAGTAAAGATGCTAAAAGAAGAGCGAATTGAAGGAGTATAAGTATTAGTCATGGGAATTGTTTTGTGGCAAATGGTTTTGGTTTTGTGTAACAACTCCACAACCACTATGCCAAATTTGGGTGTTTTGTTGCAAGCTTTTTTAGACATGGGGCATTGTTTAAGTTACTTGATTTGGCATCAAGGTAGATGGCTATGTGTAAAAGTAGACCATGGATATTGTGTGTGTTTGAATCTTGATACTATTTGATTTGTGTGACATATGGAGGAAAATGCCCTATTACCTGATACCTATAGTGGGTCCCACTCAACCTCTATAGAACGAAAATGAACATTTGTAAACTGTAAACAATGTTTTGAAAACGGGACTAACTAGACATATTACATATAATGTAGTTTTTATATTCGTGAAATATATTTTAAAGTTATTCACATATTTAAAATATAAACAGAATATAGTTTTTATAGGATTTAAAAAAGTCAATAAACAAAATTTTTAATTACAAATTAACCCTGTCCAAACCATTTATACCCGTATTTAAAAAATAAAAAAAAATAAAAAAATAAAAAAAACAAACAAACAGTTATCGGATATTTACCATGTTTAGATCATATCATATCTAAACGGTTATCGGATATTTATATATTTAGAATCTCATCTCAATTTTATTTAAATTGTGGTTCAGAAATATAGCTGAAGATGAGACAAGAAGTCATAAAAAAGCGTGTGATGGGGGCAATGAGAAGTAAAATATTTGAAAAAGGGTATCAAGGAGTGGTTTGAATGGATTAGGGAATCTTTAACCAATTCCCATTTCCCACTCCACTTTCAGCATACATATCTTCGGATCCCATGTTACCATTTCAGTATTTCACTGCAAAACAAAATAAAATTCTTCTAACAATAAAAAATGTATAAAGATTTTAGCAAACTTTGTTAAAAGTCTTTAAATATAACTATACTATAACAACATGAAAGTGGGCATTCAACTTTTAATTTATTGTAAAGGAGTTTGAGTTTGATTAGGATTCCCGTTTATTTTTGCTTACTGATCTAATTTCTTTATTCTATTTTTGCTTATTATTCAAGCAATATTCCTATATATATTTTCAATTGTTTTTGTTAACCTTATTTTATTTTCTTTATGGTATGAGAGCGGGTGTCTTGATCCGTTTGAAAACTCTGAAGCGCCATTACCGGACATGTTGTTACTGAATCAGGTTCGTCTACCAATCCATCAGATGACCCCAACTCTCCATTTTATATTCACCCAAACGATTACCCTTGCCAACTACATGTCAACGAAACACTGAATGATGGCAATTACGAAGATTGGTCTATAAAAATCAAAGACTTTATATTCGTAAAGAATAAGGTCGGCTTCATCGATGGCACCCTGGAACGACCAACGGAAAACTCACCAGGTCTTATGGCATGGCAATACAGCGATGCGATTGTTAAAGGCTGGTTGACTATTTCTACGGAGAAGGGGATCCGAGACAATGTAAAATAAGCACGCAGAGCAAGAGAGATCTGGCAAGATCTTGAGGAACGCTTCGGAAAAGAGAGTGCACCATACGAGCTAAAACGGAAGCTTACTTCAATGAGGCAAGAAGGCATGTGTCACACTCCCAAACCGGAACGGCGGAAACGTTCGGGGGCGGAGGACGTCATGTATAGTATCATAACAATTGTATAATAGTAATCAAAGTAATAACAACCATTGTATTAATAATATATAATATACATTGTGTTCAAAACATTTCATGATTTACATTAAAACTATAACAAAAGTTAAGACGTAAGGCTCCGTCTTCGAAACACCTGAGAGAGTACCTGTCTACTAACGTTCCTAAGAATACAAGTGGTTTGAAAAAGTGTCAACATTAAAGTTGGTGAGTTCATAAGTATTTTTGTTATAAAAAGTATATTCTTTGTTCTTTGGAAAAGTTCGTCTGTTCCTCCAGAAAATCTTATATTTTCTTAATAAATAATATGACCATAATCGTTCCTTCTACGATCATTTAGTGAATACAAATTATATATAATACAGATCGAATAGACAGTTGAATGTGTGGATCTGCCCTAAGACCACAACCAAACAAGGAACAGGAAGTAAGGCGGAAATCACACATTCCACTGCACATCGGATCTTTATTATATATAACTCTATCGTATTCACCAAGTAATTACAGAATTAACATTTATGATTCTTTTAGATATGATGAATGTATTTCTTTCAGAAAATCCTATATTTTCTTGGTAAAATGGTAACCACAATAGTTCCTTCTATAATCACTTAGTTTATACTAACTATATATAACCTAATATCGAACGGACAGTTGAATGTGTGAATCTGCCCTAAGCCCACAACCAAACAAGGAACAGGAAGTAAGGCGGAAATCACACATTCCACTGTCTATCGGATATTATTTATATATAACTCTGATGTATAAACTAGGGAATTATAGAATTAACCATTAAAGGTCCTTTATGTTATACTAGTTTGTAAATAAGTGTTGAACCTTTTGTAAATATGTTCCTAGTTCCACTTACTCTATTGTAAAACATTGTTTTCAATAATAAAAGTTATTTTTTTCGGAAAGTTAAATCGAAAATTGTTTCCCTTTAAAAATAACGATGTTTTCATAGAAAATCCTATATTTTCTATAAAACCGATTTGTAGTCCTAATCATTCCAAGAATGAAAAGCACAAGTATAATTACCATACTTAGTTTAATGATACCTAATTTTATTTATAAGAACAACTAGCTAAAGATGTGTTTGCCCTGAAAAGTCGATGTGACGATACTAGCCTCCTATGATCACTTAGTACCTACGAGTTGTATATAACCGATATCGAACAGACAGTTAAATGAGTGAATCTGCCCTAAGCCCACAACCAAACAAGGAACATGAAATAAGGCGGAAGTCACACATTCCACTGTCTACCAGACTTCAATTTTATATAACCCTATTGTATATACTAAGTAATCACATAGTTAATATCCCTTCAGACTGTTTAAGAAAAAGTATATCTTTACGTAAATAATTAGTTAATACTTATTGTGAATATTCATTATAACCATACTAATATATAGTCTGTCCCGTATAGATCTATACACACACTCACGCTCTCCCTCAAGGAGACTCTGGTTATAATTAGGATTCTAATGGGTACCATGAGTGGTACATCAAGCGGTTCACAATCATGTATTGATTAGTTTACATAAAGTAATAAACACCTTTTTGTAAATAACATGTAATTTTGTAAAAATGTCCCTTCGTTCCATAAACTATACCTATTATAGTTTATGAGTTTATTTTCATGTTTTAACAAATTTCGCGTTAAATACATATTGACAGTAAGAAAACAAAATAAGTAAAATTATATTTTTAAACACAAGATTTCTTGTGTTTTACTTGTATTCCCCCCCCCCCCCCCTAAAAACATTGAAAAAGCTTGGAAAAATATGGGGGTATGAACTCACCTTATGTGTGGTAACGGTTTTGAATACGGAATAGAAACGGTGGCCTTCAGGCTAGATTAAGGGAAAGATGTTGTGGTCCTAATGATTTTAAACACACAATAGTGTGTGAATAATATGATCTTTGAAATATAAGTATCTCAAAAACACTAAACTAATATGTATAATACTTACTTATTGTGAAGAGATTTATGGGTATTGTTTTTAATGTTCAAATGAAGTTTGAAAGTTTGAAGGTCAACTTCTTTGAAGATGGAAATGAAGGATGATACTTGAGAGAGTTTGATAAAGGTTTTCGTTACCGGATTGTGAAAATGAAGTATGATCTCAATATGTATCTTAAATAGTAAGGAAAATTATGAGGCGGTTGTATTGGTAAGCTTAGCAAAAGTGTGTCAAAGGGATCACCATTGTGGTTTTCGGCCATAACTTCACATGGAGGGAAGTAAATTCGGTCATGGTGGTCCAATAGAAAGTGAATTCGGTCATGGTTCTTCTAGAAATGGTTGATTTCGGTTTCAAGTCAAAGACAACAAAGAATTCAGTTTCTTGGTCAAGGAGAGAACTAAATTCGTTTTTAGCTTTCTATAAGATTGTAAATTCGGTCCTTGCTTAATGCTTGATGTAAATTCGGTCCTAGCTTCATTCTTAAGGGTGAATTCGGTTTTAGTTTGGGAAAAGATTCCAAAAACCGATTTCTATATATATACATTAATATATTTCATAGTTTCATTTAAATGTTAAGCTTATCTACATGGTTTTTCAATATAAGTACATATAACTTATATATAAGTATTATTTTCAAAGTGTATGTATATATAAAAGTATGTATTCTTGGTACTAAAGTTCTTATTTGTTATAATGTTAATTCATTTGTACATGATTGAAACTTAGACTTTTATTTAAATTAGTTTAATTTACATGGACTTGAAATATCGGGTTGTTACAGCATGTCTGTTTCGGCATATTTCACAATACTAAGAGGAATCTAGGATGATATTCAATCCTTCTCTTCATAGCCTAGGTGTACGTGTAGAAAGTATTCTTGCAATGTTAGAAAAAGGCTCACTGAGGAGAAGGAGAAAGAACATGTCTACGAGTTCTTGATGGACCTCAACGAAGACTTTGGAACTGTTAGAACTCAAGTACTTAGCATCAAACCGATACCGACCCTTGTTACTGTTTATCACATGGTTGCAGAAGATGAACAACAAAGAAGTATTACTATGTCCCGCGAAACTGATGTTGAAGCCGCCGCCTATCAAATATGAACCCAAATATACATGGACAAAAGTCTTATTGACAAGAGAAATTTAAAATGCAAACATTGTGGGAAGAATAGCCACAACATTAACAACTGTTTTGAAACAAAATCGGATACCCAGATTGCTAGGAAACTCGTCAACGAAGACCGACAAACGACTTAAAGAAAAACCCTAAGGCGAAATGTAAGGTTGTTGTAGTCGAAATTGAGAGTAGTCCAATACCCGACCTGAGCTTTTAACGATAGAAAAGA